AAGCAGAAAAAGCAGAGAATACTTACATGGGTTAGATAGAAACAGTTGAATACTTTTAAATAAACGCTTTACAAGCTCGTTTATACGAGTATACATATATATACATAATGAATTAGACAGTGCTCGTAATTAATTAGTGTTTATTATGTGTATTAATTTTATAGCGGATACATTCTACGCATAATACGAAAGAAAGCATCAATTCTTTCATTAAAAGTGTACTTTTTTTTAAAAACAAATTCCGCCAAGTAGTGAACATAATGTGTTTCCACAATACCAAATCGAGGTAGTGCTCCTCGCATATCCCTCCATAATCGTTCTATATTTTGAGTGTGGATACCAGTTTGAGAGTCCACAAAATGTTCGGTTTGATTTACCACGTAATGGGTGTAATCATAATTACTCAGAGTGTCGTATGCACGCCAGCAATCAGAATAAATTATTGAGCCAGGAGCAATTCGACGCTTAACGATGTCGACGAGAGTGATACTGGTGCGATCCTTGACGGGCACGATAAACATTTTGCCACTGACTCGTTCAATGGCACCAAATACCCACTGACCTTTGACGATTCGTCCCCTATTGTATTTACGCTTTCCCACTTTTGCCTCATCAATCTCGACGATAACGCCTGATCCACCAAGTAATTCTTCGTCAGCTATAATCCACTGTTGAAGTAACTGTAATAAGATATTTTCATTGGACTAGTAGTCATAATTAAAAAATTGGTAAAATATTTTTCTTACCTCCCGACAGAAGTTGGTCCAATCAACGACACTGTGTCTAGATAAACACAATTGTTCTTCGAGAAATATTTGACGTGGTGGCCGAATCATTAAAAAATAAGCAATAAATCTGCAAGTTTTCACTATTCCATGATGTCCGTGGGAAAACCAAGTGCCAGCTAAAGCACTTTTCCCAAATGTACAAACAACTCGTCGCTTTTTCTTCTTGTAGTGTCCGACATAATACTTGTTTCGACATTTGAATTTTAACGATTTATCATCAAAATCAAGTTCGATAATATTACTGCATTTTGGACACGTAATGCGATCGCGAATAACTCCTTTTTCGCACAAAAACCTAATCAAGGCTGCGTAGTCGTATGTTAAGTGTAGAAAATCATGTAGAAACATGTTTGCCTTTCACCGTCTACACCAAAACTAAATATGTTGGAAAAGAATTTTTCTTGAAAAGACTGTGTTTATGTTCTCGCGAGACGAGTACACACGTAAGTGAGGGAGGGGCTACCGCACTTCCCCCGAAAGCAGGGAGGAGGTGGGGGTGACCGGCGAGCGCGGCAGCGAGCGCGAGCGACGGGCGACCCGAAACATAAACATAGTATCTCGCGAAACATAAACATAGTATCTCGCGCGTCGCTCCACCTCCCGCTCATCGATCGATTTTCTTAAATGCCTTCCGAGTCCGGCCTACCGTATTCTGCAGACGTGTAAATTAATTACTCGATAACTATTGTTACTTTTGTACCGCGGCACATGATATTTCTCCTTAGTTTAACCCAATCTACCACTATATTGGAAAATATAGCTGCTATATTTTCCAAACTTTTTTGTTAATAACTTTCTAACGAATAACGACCGCCGGCTAAAAACTTCTAAGAGTTACTCAGGAGGGTGTCCTTGACAACATATGTCAAGATCAAGGTCATCGGAAGGTGGGGTCGTTTTATGCACATTTACCAATTATAAAATTAAATTTTAAACAAGAAACATGGTAGTGTCTCGCGTCGAGAATAAGCGTAGCGAATAACATGCGCGCTAGACCGACTGTGTACTTTTACGCGAGTACGCGAGTTGAGAGGCCCTTAGATTTGCTATACAGGGTGTAAACTAATTCGCGTCTACTATTTATATATTATATACAGTGTATACAGAATATACAGTGATATTTCTTATAAAAACCTGAATCAAAAAGTCCCAAATCAATTTTTCGAATAATGCTTTATAAGTTTTAAGTTTTTAAGTTTATAAAATAGTAACGGACGCACGTTTATGAATCGCGAAATCTATACTAGTATGCGTGAAGTAAGCAGCGCTCCTTAACGGAGTCCGTCGTGTATCCGTTTAAAAAGCGAGGTAATACTGAAGGAGAGGGGCAACCTCACCGATCTGACTGTAACTTAGCAATATTGTGTATTTCGATGCGTAAAACACAACTGTGAAAGTAAAAATCGTCGCTCTGCCACAGAAAAAAAGTTATAACGTGTTGAAAAGTGACGGTTTTGGGGTTAGGATACCTGTCGTACCGACACGAACTGGCGCTATACGGGCGCGGCGCAGACTGACCGAGCATGCGTAGTACCCCCTGCTTGTGTGTGTATGTGTGCGTGCGCGTGTGTTCTTTGTAAATATTGTCTGTAAAGCAGAGAATACTTCGAATAGTATTGAACTTGTGCGTTAGGTTAAAGCAGAGAATGTATTCTCTGCTTTAACCAATGCACAAACAATTCAATACCATTCGAAGTATTCTCTGCTTTACAGACAATATTTACAAAGAACACACGCGCACGCACACATACACACACAAGCAGGGGGTACTTTTAATTTACCTAAATACACACTTCAAA